CCCCAAACATTTGAGGATTTTGACATAGAGTTTTACCCATCTGTAACTCTTGGAAACTTTTTGAATGAACCTCACTCCCCCAATCCAAATCCAAATCCAGAACATCATCAACCAGAACTTGCCAAAGTTCTATCTAACATTGAACTGTTTGATCAAGACTTCTCCTCGCCAATACCAAAAAATCCAAACACTCAATCTCCACTCCCAGAAAAACCAAACACTCAACAACAACCAGAAAATCCACAATCACACTCTCCTCAACCAGAAAATCCACAACCACACTCTCCTCAACCAAAACATATGAACCTCAACTCACCTCAACCAGAGAATGGAAACTCACTCACTCCTTCTTCTGAAAACCCATCGTCTGAAATTCCTGAACCAGAAATTTAACACGCTACTGCAAACCAATCTGAAGACTCCCCTTCATATTCTAAAACCACTATCTCAATCCCTAGAATAACAGAACCCCTTACGGTTCGCTTACCTCTCATTATTCATGATATTCCATAAATCCCTTCACCATATGAATATACACCACCAAACACCCCTAACACACCAATCCTAATTTCCGACTCTTCCACTCCATCACTCATCAATCGTCCAGCTGACAACCTCAGACTTTTCATTGATCCACTAGTGCTGGACCAACTAACTTCCACCTCAAACAAAATTATCACTCCCAAACCTAAACCAACCTCAACCAAATTAGATGCTGGTAAGAATATGTTGATTTTTGAAACAGAAATGCAGGAATGGATTAATTCTTTGAAGCAAGCAAGTCAAGAGATTTCTAATCCCGTTGCTTCTGATTCTCCGTGGGAAAGATTCAGAAAATGGGTCAACTCTGAAACTCAGAAGCTGAAAGAAGTGGGCTATGAAAGGGCTCAACAGAAGTTCAGTGATAAGATGAAAGCATTCCAAGATCAAGTTCTAGGCTAATGGTACAAGAAATAAATTCTTCCACTGGATAATGCTCCCTGGAAAGAGAACCATCCTTCAGAAGTCACTAAACCAGATTTTGATAGTCTCTCTCTGACTACTGCTCTAGAAAACATGATTGCAGCAGAAGAAGTGGTTCAATCAGAAGAGGCTGCAGAATGTTCTGAACAACATGAAACCCATGAAGATACACCAGCTTCGTCTCTAGTCATGCAAACTCTGGAAGAGTTGAAGAAGGAGAATGCCTTAATCCATGCCAGACTGGATAAGCAAGAGGATACAAACAAAGAGATCAAGGGTATTCTGGATAAACAAGAAGATACTACAAAAGAAATCAAAGGCATTCTGGGAAAGCAAGAAGAATCAAGCACTCAGATCAAGAGCTTGTTGGAAGCGTTGTTCACACGTCTTCCCCCTCCTTCTTAGATTTTCTTTAAAATTGTTTATCTGTAATTTTTTATCTTTACCTCCTTGTTTCTGAAAATTGTCATTGCACTCTGTTTTCAATATAATTAATCTTTTTGACTCTGATTATATTGCTTTTTGATACCTGACAAAAAAGGGGGAGAAAGTAAGATATTTTAAATAACAGTGTACCGGGACAAAGTCTCAAACATTCTGAATATTTTAACTACTATTTTCTGAAAAGCTTGAACAAGAACGCATTCTGATAACGACAAAAGGAGATACATCAAAAGCTCTGACAAGAAGGAACTTTAGGGAAGTAACCAACTCAGGGGGAGTCTCACTCATAAGCTTTTTTGTTCTATATTTTTCATTGAAAATCCTAGTTTTTGTCATCATCAAAAAGGGGGAGATTGTTAGAACATAGTTTGATTCTACAACCCTTAATTAGAGTTTTGATGATAACAAACACAAAGAACAAATATGAACTCTAAACTTGTTTTATTTTGTATGCAGAAGTTCTGACCAAAGCAGCATCAAAAGTTAAGCTATAGAAGCTTTCACGCTGAGGTAATCAGAACTGCGCTGAAGAATGATGATCAGAACCTATGCTGAAGTGAAGAATTCTCTGATTTTGATTAGAAGTTTCATATACAATTAGATCCTCACATCTCTAAGTCATCAATGTTCTGAAGCAATTGCAGCATGCACGATTCTAAGATTCTGAAGCGTTACTATTCAATCAAGACAATATCACATGCAACGGCTTCATTCTGACAAGAATCTTCTCTATATGGAAACAATTTAATTGTCCATTATCATGCTTTATGTTGGACAGGATTCCTATGCCTATATAAACAAGCTAAGAGGACAAATCTTTTACGATTTTGAACACGACTGCAATACATCTCTAAAACGCTGCAAGCTTACGTACTCTTTTCTACGCTCAAAATTATGTAAAATATCACAGTTGTGATACTGTTTTTGTAAGGAAAAACAACCATACAAAGAATACTCTTTTATCTTGATTAAGTTAGTTTTCCTTGAGATTAACCGGGTTGTGGTTGTACTCAAGAAGACTTTGACAGTTGTCAAAGTAGTGATTGTAATCAGTTTTTGATTAGTGAATTAAGTCCTCGTTGGAGAGAGGCGAAATCACCTTGACGGGTGGACTGGAGTAGTTTGAGATCAAATGAAGCAGGATAAATATATCGTGTCTACTGCGCATTTGATTTTAAGTTTTCAATTCAACCCCACTTCTTGTGTTTTTCACTTCTTCACTTTGGAGACTTATGCGTTGGCACAAAAGTAAATTAATCATGTCCTTGCTGAAGATGATTTCGAGTTACGCCCTCGAGGCAAGATGCCACATTTGATTGGTTTGTATTTTTTTGTTACAGATAATGACTAGTTAACCCCAAGAGAGAGAAATTAGCAACTTTTCCACTTATCCATGAAAGGAGTCTTTGAGACTTGAACCATACCATGCTTGAGATGGAAGAACAATATGATCGAGAAGAGAACCACTTATCATTTCTCATACTCAACAAAAGTATGATTCTCATCAGTAAGTTTTTAAAGTGTTTTGAAGTTTGAAAGGAAAAAGAAGTTTTTGTTTTAAATGCATTTGCAAAAAGGGGGAAGAAAAGAGTCTAAGGGAGACTAGCCTATTTCTAAATCTAATGTTATTATACAATGGTTGTCCTAAAGTTTGGATTAATAAAAAGGAAGTCTCTACTTAATGTTAGCATGTATAGTTTGCAGTAAAGCCCTACTTCTCATGATTTCTAGAAAAGTGGTAAAGAAATGCGATAAAGTGCAGAAATTAGGGATAAATTAAGGTCACGATGATACCGAATGGAGAAGGTCCATTTCCACTTCGTAATCACACAAGCAATAAGAAAACTCTACTTAAAGCTTCCTCGAATTCTCTTGGTGAAAATTATATCAATCATTCTATCAAAAAATCTTAGCTAAAAAATGACAACGAAAATGATTATTAAACATAAAATAGTAGAAAACTCCAATAAAATTCTAATTAGGAAACGTAAAAAATTTCTAAAATATTCTACTATTTTTGTATCATTATCATCATTAAAATCATGAAATAAAGCTAAAATTTTAACATGGAGAGGTAAAAGTAGTAGAAACAGGGGGGGTGTATTATTGAGCCCCGGAGGTATGCTGGAGCAAGTTGATGCTAAGCCCATCAGCCATTTTTGTTCACCAACCCAGAAACTACCAAAAAGGCTATTGGGTCAGCTGATCTGGTCCACTACCAACACCATATCATA